CTTTTACTACCGGTTCTCAAGAACCAGACAGAACCAGGAGCAACCCACCACTGATTCAGGGCTGAATGCTATTGCTCAAAGATCTCAAGTTATTAGTAAAGCAGCAATAACGGCAATAGTGTAGCAGCATAAGATCCAAGGATTCCATCTTCTTATCTGGAACATTTCAGATTCTTGAGAATGCCAGCTGCTTGGACCATCACCATGTTGTAAGCCAATTCTGAACACAGTTGGTATAGTGGTTAAGGCAGACTTCCTAATCTGGGTATCTTCCAGATGTGTGAACTTCAATTCCAGTATTCGGTATGGTAGCTGGAAAGACTGAGATAGCAATTGCTGCTTCAGGAATAAAACTTGTCACAACAATGGTTTATGTAGAATAAAACAGAAGTAAAAACAAGCATCCTTGTTCTGAAAGCAGTTGTACATGGAATGGCATAAAGAAGTTAAACTATTCATGCATACTGGCAGAGCAGGTTCATGAAACAGCTGAATGCATTGATTTGCAATCAAGAATAATTATACCTGTGGAGCTGTACTTGAAAATTCACAACTACCACTCTATGCCAAATTTTGGAAATTGCCACTACTTTATAAATTAAGGATCTCCTGCGGTTTATAGCACTTCTTCCCTCCATCATATTCCAGTTACAAATTCACTAATTCATTGTAAATAAAGGGCCAGACAATTGGCATAAGAATCCAACTCAGATACTTTTAATATTTAGTATTAATACTTTTAATTAATATTTATTAATATTAAGAAATCATGTCTTAATATTTAAGTAGAAAGAAACATGGCTTCACAGGAGCCTTTCATCTTTATGACATCTGTTCAATTTGTTCTACGGTCAATTTTTATTGTATGCAGCCCAGAATCATACTTGTGAGATAATTATCTACTGTATATAAAGGTGATGAAGAAATAAAATGTATTTTTGTGATCATTTTTGTGATGATCTTGTTTGGATCATCATACCTTTTCATAGTTACCTTCTCATCTATGAAATGTTTTCTTAAATACCAGTATCATCCATACTTTCCTGCCTGCTAAAATGTCTTTTTATATAGTACATTTATTAAATCTTGTAACAGAAACTAAAAATTAAACTGAAGAAAAGGGAAGGAAGGAAGGATTAAAAAATTACTTCAATCTCTTATAAAACGTTTATAATACCAGATTTAAATTTACCTCTTACACTAAGTTACAACATGAAAATTATTTTTTTTCTATCGTCTACAGCAGGGGTCTCCAACCTTGGCAACTTTAAGCCTGGCGGACTTCAACTTCCAGAATTCCTCAGCCACCAAAGCAAAGCTGGCTGGGGAATTCTGGGAGTTGAAGTCCGCCAGGCTTAAAGTAGCCAAGGTTGGAGAACCCTGGTCTACAGCACTATTTTTTCTAATATCAACCCATATATCATAATTTCATTTTTTTTCTATTTCATTCCAAAAGTGGAAAAGAGGTTTCCAGTTGGCATTAAAATTAATCTTTTCTGTAACCAATTTAGCCATTTCAGCAAGCTCCATGACGTTCACCATCCACTCTTCCATTGTTGGTAATATCAAATCTTCCCATCATTGTGCATATAAAAGTCTTGTTGCTTCCTACTAAAATTTCAATACATCCTATCTTCAATACATCCTACCTTCTATGCTTTTTACCATTATCACTATTACTTTAATTATAGATTTGCAGGATATTTCATGGATTGATTAAATCCTGTATATTTCTACACTACTCAAAAGGAAGTATCAATTGGTTCAGTGTTGCAACTCTCAGGAAAGTGTCAACCAAATTGCAATGTGTAAATTCAGCCTCTAGAATATCTGGAAAATTTGGATGCCAATCCTTGCTCATTTCTGTCTCACTGGATGATTTGGTAGCTTACTTCATCAATTTGCTTTAAACTTTAATGTTGCTCATTTCTTATGGGGAAGGATAAAAAAATGTAAGTATATTTTAAAGGAAAATGATATTTTTGAAGGATTGCTAAAAATCTTTAAAATCATGGAATGTTTCCATGTTTTCCATTAAGAATGACAAGATTTGACTTTATATAAATCTCCCTATCTTTTATTGACTGCAGTAAGACTTCCTTTCCCAAGGACAATTCTCAAATCCATGAAATATCCTTCCTTAGTAACCATTTCAACTCTTTTTTTTAAATTCTAAAACTTGTTTTTATTAAAGAAATGCTATATGTGTGAGAGAGATGGGAAAATAGTGAGAGAAATGTGATTGATTTAAAAATTATAAGTACAAATGATTTTCTGTTGTTTACAGAGAAGCACATTCCAGTCTTGTGTAGCTCATACCCTTTATGAGATTTGGGGATTATTCAAATTCATGTTGAGTTTTTCAGGGAGCTGTATCATCTTCTCAATTTTTCCATAGGGGGAAAACAGTTTTCATTGCTCTGAATTACATATATAATACATAATTCAGTATTCAATATTATCTTGGGATTTTATCTAAAGCACCATAAATCTAGTTTATGTGAGGCATTCCAATAACTTCCTTTCTGAAGTACCATGAAATGCACTAATAATTTATTTAAAATATTGGCAAAAAACCTAAACTATAAAGCATATTCTCATAAGTTCTTTTTCTTATACTGTATCTGCCAAGCCTTCCAGAAAGTACCATGTTTCCCTGAAAATAAAGCCCTGTCTTATATTTTTTGAACCCCAAAATAAGCACTTGGCCTTATTTTCGGGGAAGTCTTATTATTTTGAGGCGCATGGAGCAAGATGGGGCTCTTCTTGCCATCTTACCTGATTTCCAGCTCTGCGTTTAAATATTTTCAGGGAGGGCTTATTTTCGAGGGGAGGCTTATTTTAGCACATGTGCTCAAAAGCCCGATTGGGCTTATTATCAGGGGATATCTTAATTTTGGGGAAACAGGGTATTATTGGAATCTTTGATAGCAGACATTCAAAGAAATTATAAAAAGCAGGGCACAAAAATAATTTGTAAAATCTAACAATGAGGTATTATTTCCTTACATCATTTTTAATTCATACATAGGTGATTCTTTTTTAAACTGTTCCAAATAATAAAAATAAGGTCAGTAAACATTTATAATTTTTATTTTTATTCTTATTCCTGCCCAGTTAGAAATTGTCTTTGTCGGTACTGAAAAAATTTCCAACCATAATTCACTAGAAAGAAAGCAAGAAAATTGTCATTACAATATTCATGAACTTGCATTCGGTACAAGATGACTTTGAGAAAAAGTAGATCTGTGTGCATTTGAAAATCTCTGTTTCTTTTACCTGTATTTATAGGCGTATTTGTGCATTACACAACGATGTAGACATAACATGCAAGATCATTCCACTGCCTTGCAGGTCAACAAGATTAAATATGGGGCAAAGTGGGGGAGATTGCCATTCCTCCTATTTCTGCTGTGGTGAATGATTTCTTAATTCATCTTTGGCCCAGTTCAGCCATATCTCCTTTGATCTTTTTTGACAGTGGAGATTATGGCACTGGGAAGGTCACGTTGAGACTGATGGGAGGCGGGATTGTCGGTGGGGTTTTCAAGGCTGGATTCTCACCTCCCATTTCAGAGCTCTCTCTGATTAGTTCTATGGCCTCCACTATTGAAATCTCAAGGGAGGTCCAGGACAATTTCATACATAATACCATCAGCTTGAGTTTGGTTTAGTGCAGGGGTCTCTAAACTTGGGAACTTCTAAGAGTTGTGGATCTCAGCTCCCAAAATTCTTCATGCTGTGTGGCATTTTGGGAATTGAAATCCACAAGTTTTAAAGTTGCCAAGTTTGAAGGCCCCTGGTTTAGTGGTTAAGGCACCAGACTAGAAACCAGGAGACTGTGAGTTCTAGTCTTTTCTTTAGGCATGAAAGCCAGGTGGGTGACTTTGGGCCATTCATTCTCTGTCTGCCTATTTCACAGGGTTATTGCTATAGAGAAAATAGGAGGACGAAGTAGTTTTAGGTATGTTTGCCACGTTGAATTATTTAAAAAGTAACAAAGGTAGGATATAAATCAATAATGATCACCTACATTGACCATAGAATGCTACTTTATAGAGCAGACTATTTGTCCGTCAAGATTTGTATCGTTTATACTCTGACAGGTAGCAGTGTTTTCTGCATCACTTGATCTTTTCACCTGACTTTCTAGCCAATTGGTGGGCCTAAGAAAATGGGAATAATCTTCAGACTTTTCTTTGAAATTCCTAATTCTGTGTCACAGAATGAGTAACAATTCTTTATCATTTAATTTCATTGGAAATCTGAAGGCAGAGTATATTTCCCCATCTTATTTTTTCTCACAACAATGCCGAGAGGTAGAATTTTTTTGCTGCCAGATTATTTCTACAAGCATATTTCAAATGAAATAAATTTCACTCTGTATCAATAGTTAAGTCATGGCCCTATGCCATAATAATCTCACAATCATAATCTGACAATCATAATAATCTGACAATCATAATCATAATCACAATTGCATTGTGAAAACAATTTAAATAGTTTCACACTAACAGGTTTGGCAAATAGGAAAGGGATTGCAATACTGGAATATTCCACTCACCCAGGATTCAGGTAGCACAGAATAGCTTAATGGCATTATTATTCATTAACAGAAATGATCAAAATTCCTTTTACTGATTCCTTACCTGGCAAAGATGGGCTTCTCATCCTGAAATACATTAAAATGAGAAACGCCAGTATCTATGTCTGTCTGTCTGTCTATCTATCTATCTATTGCCATGTAAGAACACTTACTATCTACCTACCTACCTACCTACCTACCTATCTCCATGTAAGGAAACTTTAACTTCCAAAAAATAATTTCTGTTGATTTTACTATCTCAGAACAGAACATGAGAATCAGGTTGGAAATTATAAAGTTTATAATTTATAAAGTTTTAAATCAGGAAGAAGTTTAGATTGGCTGAAAAGTTTAGATTTGGTATGAAATGCATTAGCAGCAACAACAGGTAATAAATATACTCACAAAAACAAGGGAGAGGGCAAAAGCAAGGGATATTTAATATTAAAAAATAACTGTACATCTTGGATACTGGAAAAAAGAACTGCCCCCCCCCCATGGCTATTCAAATTCACATCCATGTAAAGCTTGGTGTACTTGTAGAATCTCACATACGTATATCTGTCTTTTTAAAAAAAGTTCAAAGGCACTTAGGCAGAATACAGTCTCTTCTCCATCCACAAGAAGCACCCGGACAGGTCTTTTCTCTACAAGCAAAAAACCAGATCAACCAGCTGAAGAAAATCATCTCATTTTGACAGCATGGCTTTTCTTTCAGAGCTTTAGAGAATTCTATTTTCAAACCTCTTTCCCACCCGCCGGATTTCACAAAAGGTAGAAGAACCAGATGCAAGGTTTCCCCCCCCCCAACCCACCCATGAGACAAGGATGCAGCAGCACATTTGAGGTCAGAGGTAAAGGTTTTGTTTCAAACTTTGGATGAAGAACCCACGCTCTTCTGCGACAGTCTTGCATGGATTTCTGTCTTGGAAATTGGTCTTCAGTATTAAAATTGACATTTATTTCTTTATTTATTTTTTGGAGTCTGGTGTGTTGTTAAGCAAAGAGAACTATTTCACGTCCTTTTGGAAATCCATCTGCGCTTCCAAAGCGCTTTTCTTTGGCTGTGCCCTCAAGACACATGTATCTTCTTTGAATTTCAGCTATCAGCTAGCAGAAGGACCATCTCTGCCATTAATTAGTACCATCACCGTTCTCACTGCTTCCGTGGCAAAGAATCTGGAGCCAGCCCCATACCTCGAGTTTCTCATTTATTCTGGCTGAGAGTCGTTTCAAGAGAACAAGTACAGAAATACCATCCTTGGTCTTTTGTTTGTTTGTTTGTTTCCTTTTCCTTGCTCCATGACTAAATAATTTAAAAAGGAGCATCCTGACCCGCCCGGTTGTTTTAGTGGAAGCATTTCAGTCTCTTAAATAAGCTTCTTTAATTATAATTATTACATCATCATCAACAACATCAACATCTTCCTCTATTTATTTATACAAATATATATAAAATAGATTTATATAGATTTATTATCATATAGACTTTGTAGGTCTCGCTGGCCTTTTCATTTACAGACATACTGGTCAACAATCTCTGTGCACTTTTTACACTTGACGTAACAGCACCAGTGAAACTTGCAGTGGCAACGCTCTACTTGCACACTCTTGAACTGGTCATAGCCCCGGCCGCAACACATCAGCTCGCATCCATCCATGCCCTCCGAAGTCTTATTACACAACCGCCCTTGTGTGCCCAAGGAGCCAGTGGTCTCATTACGCAGGCAATAGTCCGGACTGGAGTCAATGTAGACCAGGTCCTCAGGGGTGGGTGAATTGAAGCGGTTATTCACTAGCTCGAGCTTGCCTTTGCGGCCGATTCTCATAGCAGCAGCGCTGTCGTATTTCTCCTTCAGAAAATCCCCCACTTTGCGGAAGTCAGCCAGCTGCAGCCAGCATGTCTTGAGGCTGCAGGACCCCGAGACTCCATGACACTTGCAAGCCACATCAGCTAGCTTGTACACTGCCTGTGGAAGAGAAAACCCATTGGGTCAACGCAACACCTAACAGCGGGATGACCTAACGATATAGTACACTTACCCTGTTTCCCCAAAAATAAGACATCCCCTTATAATAAGCCCAATCAGGCTTTTGAGCACATGCGCTAAAATAAGGCTCCCCCAAAAAATAAGCCCTCCCTGAAAATATTTAAAACGCAGAGCTGTAAGACAGTAAGAGGAGCCCCATCTTCCTCCACCCCAAAATAATAAGACCTCCCTGAAAATAAGGCCAAGTGCTTATTTCAGGGTTCATAAAAATATAAAACAGGGTCTTATTTTCTAGGAAACACGGGTACTGATGCAGGAGACACTTCCTGGATGAGTGTAGAAAACACTTTCAAAATATTTGTTTTATGGTATTTAGATCTCATCCTTTATTTTCCTCTAAACTGCTAAGAGACGTATTCGTATATGTAGCTTCCCCTGTCTAATTTATGCATTTCTTTACTTAATTTTTACAGGATCATGTTTTTAACAGAGTATAGGATGGGGCGCTCCCATTTTCTTCAATGCGTATGCTTATGGAGGATTTTTTTTAAAAAAAATTGGCCACTGAAAGCCACAGAGCAAGCCAAAGGGCAAATGTGTCTCTAAAGCTGCAAATTGCTTGCTTTGATATACAGGATGTTCTCTGGGTAGTTGTGCGGGAGAGGGAGTACAGATACTCTTGACTTATGACCAGTCACTTAGCTACCAGTCAAAGTTACAATGGATCTACAGGGGGGAGGCTAATTATACCCAGGATTCAAAGTTCTGAAGATCAGGTGGAAACCTGCCCCCCTTCCCTCCCCCTCCCCGCCCTCCGGGATTTGCAGCATCCTGTGGTTACATGACAGTTTTGCCCAAAACTATTTAGCATTTATTTGCAGTTTTTTGCAAAACCACATTGATAGTGAACTTAATGACTTTACACTTTACAATCACATCTGCTTAATGACTGCTGCAAAAAAGGTTGTAAATTCAGATCAGTCTCATAATAATGACTTACCAAAGATGGCCAGACTTCATTATGACCATAAGTCAAGGACCACCTACATCTGATCCAGGACTACCTATTGATCTGTGTTGCCAACTGAAGACTTGAACCTGCATTTTTCAGCTGTGGTCTAAGTATTTCACAGTGTGCTAAATCTCTACCCAACCTTTGTATTCTGGTAGATTTTGTCTTGGAGATCAATTTTATCTTCATAAATCTCCCTGGGATACTCAAATCATTTGAGAATTATGGAAGATTGTATATCCATTGTACAGACTCAGGCCTTTATGGCAAAACCTAAATTGCCTTTCAGTACCTATGTTCCAGTGAACAGAGTGATAAGCATCAGTTTTTGGGGGGCTCAGAGTAATTTGGAGGTGATCAGTTCAAGGACAGAATTGGTCTAAAAACAGGACAGATAGGGATTCCCCTTCTCAAGAAAGGGGTCCTTTTTGTCCTTAATAATTCAGTGTTTCTCTAGCAAGAAATGTCAGCTACAGAGTTTTATTAGAGGAGTACTGAGATGACCTTGGAAAAGGTTCACTGAGACTATTAGTAACATATGAGCTCAGCCCTGAAAAACAAGGAAGCATAACAGTGCCCCGCCTTGATTCTCTCTGATATAAGGTAAAATGACCTTAGAAGATAGGAGAAGAGTCACAACCTAGACAAATCTCATGCAAATGGTATGTCAGTCAATAGAATAGAATAGAATAGAATAGAATAGAATAGAATAGAATAGAATAGAATAGAATAGAATAGAATAGAATAGAATACTTTATTGGCCAAGTGTGACTGGACACACAAGGAATTTGTCTTTGGTGTATATGCTCTCAGTGTACATAAGGAGAATAAAATACATTCATCAAGAATAAAAAGATACAACACTTAGTGATAGTCAAGATATCAAATAATAGCGTTTATAATAAGCTATCAAATCATACTAGGAAACAAATAAAAACAATATAATTGAAAGATACAAGCAACATGGTTATAGTAATAAGTGGGAAGAGATAAATACTAGTAAGGAAGAGAAGAATAATAGTAATAGTCAGTAAATTATTTGACAGTGTTGTGGGAATTAGTTGTTAAGCAGAGTGATGGCATTTGGGGAAAAACTGTCCTTGTGTCTAGTTGTTCTGGTGTGCAGTGCTCTATAGCGTCTTTTTGAGGGTAGAAGTTGAAACAATTTATGTCCAGGATGTGAGGGGTCTGTAGATATTTTCACAGCCCTCTTTTTGATTTGTGCAGTATACAGGTCCTCAATGGAAGGCAGGTTAGTAGCCATTGTTTTTTCTGCAGTTCTAATTATCCTCTGAAGTCTGTCTCTCTTTTGTTGGGTTGCAGATCCAAACCAGACAGTTATGGAGGTGCAGACGACAGACTCAATAATTCCTCTGTAGTACTGAATCAGTTCTACATTATCATATAATTATTATATATAATAATGTAATATATAATGTAATGTAATGTAATGTAATGTAATGTAATATAATATAATATGACAGTTTTTGAGACTCTTGATCAAGATGTGCAACCCAATCACGAAGGACCCTTTCCATTGTTTTAACAATCTGTTTTTATTCTCTCTGACTCTAGGCCCAAACCTCACCACTGTCCAAACTGATCAGCAAACCGAAATGAAACTCTGTGAGGGATTTTTTGTTTTTGTACTTCGTGTTCACCCTTCCATGTGCATTTTTTAAAGAAATAGACAGAATTCAGGCTGAGTCATCCTGCCTTCATGTCAAGTTCTGAGTTTCAAAACCTACAATTGTAATCAACATTATTGTAGAGAAGGCAAGTTGCATCTTGTTCGCCACCTGGTGGCCAATCAATTCCTTTTCCCATTATTACTTTATAATAGGGCTGTCCAATCTTGGCAACTTTAGGACTTGTGGACTTCAATTCCCAGAACTCCCCAGCCAGCATTTATTCCTCCCAGGAATTCTGGGAGCTGAAGTCCACAAGTCTTAAAGTTGCCAAGGTTGAACACCTCTGCTTTATTACCTAATAAGAAAAAAAGAAAAAGAAAAAAGAAAACTTGCATCTAAAAATGTTATATATGAATCAGATGAATACCTATTTGGAGATATAGGTATAGGCATTCACAGGCATAGTCATCAAAGCTGAAGCTTACCTATAGCGTATTATCAAATAATAGGTTTGTTGCTAGACATTTTATTTATTTATTGTCGCAATCATTTCAATGCTTGGTCTTATAAAATATGTGGGATGGTTGTATATTGAAAGTTAATTTGATAATAAGCAATTTAACATTTGGGGAAAAAGCATTGATAAAGTCAGAAAGTTTTCTTTACATTTTGTATGTAAATATGAATGCACAATCACCCTAATTATACATCCTGTCTTGAAATGCCTTCTTCCTGTGTTGTGCATGGCAAATTAAAAACTATATTAAGATCAGGGGTGAAATGCTCCCGGTTCAGACCAGATCGCCCAATCCGGTAGCGATTGTGGCGGGTGGTTCAGAGAACCGGTAGCAAAAATCCTTCCCCCCCCCATGCCCAGCTGAGCCGCCTGATCATTAGAGGCTTTTTTTTTTATTTTTAAAAGCATTTTTTCTACAACCTCTTGGCTGAAAAAATGCTTTTAAAAGTAAAAAAATAAAGCCTCTGATGATCGCACAGCTCAGCTGGGATCGTCAGAGCCTTTTAAAAGCATTTTTTCTACAATCTCTTTGGCGGAAGAGGTTGTAGAAAAAAATGCTTTTAAAAGGCTCTGACAATCCCAGCTGAGTTGCCTGATCGTCAGAGGCTTTTAAAAGCATTTTTTAACAACCTCTTCGGCCAAAGAGGTTGTAGAAAAAATGGTTTTAAAAGTTTAAAAAAACAGGTTGGCCACGCCCACTCAGTCACATTACCCCCCCACCAAGCCACGTCCACAGAACCGGTAGTAACAAATTTTACATTTTACCACTGATTAAGACTGAAAATGTTTTGATAGTGGCATGTTTACAGAGGATGTAAACATGCTACAAATTGTTTTTTAAAAAGTTCTTTACATAGAAGGTGAGAGGAATGGATAGATAAGTTGCCAGAAGGAATGTGGCATAAAAATCGAATTGAAGCTAAGCAGAAATGGATCTGGTTAATGTCCCAAAGGTGCTTTTTCAGGAGGCAACTGGGCTTGTTTTTTTCTTTTGAAGATGTTTCGCTTCTCACCCAAGAAGCTTCTTCAGCTCTGACAGGATAGTGGGGAAGAGCTGAAGAAGCTTCTTGGATGACAAGTGAAACATCTTCAAAGAAAAAACAAGAAAGTCCAGTTACCTCCTGAAAAAGCACCTTTGGGACAACCATGACCTGGATGACTGAGAATCTCTACAGATCTGATTAATGTCCGTGCAGAAAATTCCCAGGGAAGCTCACAAATTCTCCTCAGGACTTCTTAAGACCTGATTCCAAAAGCTGTTCCTCCTTTTTAGTCACATGACCACATGTTGTGTGCATGACAACCAGCTCACATTCATGGCAGTTTGCGGTGTCCTGCAGACACATGACCATGTTTTATGACATTTGTACTGAAAACCAGCATTTACTTTTGGTTTCTGGCAAAAAAAAATTACCCATAGTGAACAATGGATTCACTTAACAACTACTTAATAGTCACCACAAAAAGGTTATAAAATCAGGTCAGTCATGTAGGCGACCTGATTTACAACTATAAAACTTAGGACCTGGGTACCTTCGAGACCGATTTCTGCCACCAGTAGCCTCCCACCGGCCAGTCCGCTCCCACAGAGAGGGGCTCCTAAGGGTGCCATCAGCCAAGGTATGTCGGCTGGCGACACCCAGGGGGAGGACCTTCTCTGTGGGAGCTCCTGCCCTGTGGAATGAACTGCCCCCGGAATTGCGCAAGATCTCCGACCTCCGTGTATTTCGCTGTGCCCTCAAGAACCTGCTGTTCCGCCAGGCCGGGCTATCAATGTAAATGATTTTAAATTGGGTGTTTTAAATTTTTGGGTTTTAAT